TGAGAGAGAGAGAGAGAGGAGAGGAAGAGAGAGCGAGAGAGATGAGAGAGAGAGAGATAGAGAGAGAGAGAGAGAGAGAGAGAGAGAGAGAGAGAGAGAGAGAGAGAGAGAGAGAGAGAGAGAGAGAGAGAGAGAGAGAGAGAGAGAGAGAGAGAAGAGGAGATAGATATAGAAGAGAGAGATAGTATATATTATATATATATATATATATATATATATATACTATATATATATATATATATATATATATATAAATTTGTATAATGCTATATAAGATATGTCGCGTAGGCTGCTGTCTTGCTGATGTCCGCTGTTGCCACACGATATTGCGTATCATTATTTAAGAGAAGACTGGCGAGTTCTGAACTATGACGGTCAGACGCCGCAGAATACGTCCAGTGGAACTATTTCTGAGCGAGCGGCCGGCACTTCAAGTGACTTTTCGTTTGCCACTGGTGCCATGATCGGCACGCTCGCCTTAGCCTCGTAGATAGGGTAGTTCTTACGTCAGTAGCTTAGTGGCTTAACTCCAGCCGGGCACTCCTACCACGGAGCCCGCATGTTATTATCAGCGCGGCTAATGCGCAGTATTTTTTGATAGCGTGTTTTAGCGTGTGCAAAGGGAATAAAGGTCAGGAAGGAAATTTGTCATTTTAACATTTCACTGGAACTATTATTTTTTGGATTGAGAGAGCATTGGGGAGCGCTGTCATAGCATGCAAGAGCATGGTTCTATGAATAATCTGGTACGTGTTTGTCACAAAGATATCTGTAAGTGTTGCAGATGGCAATGCACAGGCCCTGTCCGTGTCATCGATGTGCGCACAGGATGGAAGAATGGTCCTCTTCTGCTTACAGACCTGTCGGTGTCTGGGGAAAGATTGTCGGCTCGCTGTGCGCCATTGCTGGCGTGCTGACCATAGCGCTTCCAGTGCCGGTGATCGTCTCCAACTTCAACTACTTCTACCATCGCGAGACCGACCAAGAGGAAATGCAGTCCTGCAATTTCAACCATGTCACCAGCTGTCCTTACCTGCCTGGCACTGTGGGTGAGTGGTGCATCAAAGCCTGTGTAAGCATGCGCAGGCGTTGTGACTATTCGTCGTCTGTCTCTGGACACAGCCAGGCAGCGGTTGGCATTCGGCGCGATGTCTCCATCTGCTTTTTTAACGAGATGGGGCGCATGGCGAGCCGTTCTCACTTCGTCTATCAGGACAAAGACCGCTGGCAGACCCAGACGTGCCCAAGTATACCGGGTGTCCAGACCAGTTCTGCAGTGGAATCACCGCGACGTAAAGCAGACGCAGTGCCGGACTTTGTTGTGCCCAACAGCCAAGCCGTGAACAACAAGTCTGAAATGTGATTCTCCGACGGCTGCCATGGTTCCAGCGATATCATAATGATTTTGAACCATTTGTTTTCCATCCTCCCCACATCCCATTGTTTACCGACAACGTTGTCGCCTCTTGGCACAGGGCAAAACCAGTGCCGTCACGATAACAACAAGAACTTTCTTGTATAACGACATAGCAGATTTTGTAAAATGGACATAGATGTGCTATCAAGGTGCCTTCGGCAGAGTGACACGAGCGAAATGATAACGCGCGACAGACAAATGAGGCCAGCTCACTTTGGGAATCCATGCAAATAGGTCAGCGAATCACCACACGAAGATGTCCGTCCTACATAAGTTTGGTAGACGGGGAGGTCAACCGCATGGCGTCCACAAGGAAATTCAGAAATGCATTGGTCGAAAATTTTCCTTTAGCCCTTGCTACGCCGAAGAACCTCAGTCAACCGCGAAGATAAATTTCATGATATTTGGGTTTTCGGGACGGGGGGGGGGGGGCTTCGACTACGGCGATTATCTTGCCTCATATGCTTTCATTTGAGATTATTTACGTGCACAATGATTGCTACCAGGATGTTGCGAGGAGCCAAATATGTTCGGTGGAAATGTTTTAGACCACTAAGAGTGCATGTCTGCAGGGTTAGTCTGTCTCGACCTCTATCCGGTCCCGATCCCATCACAGTATTTCGAAACCGGCTGTCAAAAAGTCGACATCGGCCGCTTTTCGGTCTATTACTGGTGTCGTTATGGGCTTGACAGTGCCTGTTGTGTTCGCGCAGTGACTCATTAGACGACAGAGTTACCTGCACCAGCAGTTGTCAACTCTTTTTAAATTTCTTTGGGTAGCGAGATCTGTCACCATTCCTTAGCACGCGCAAGGGTAGCTGGTTGAATACGACGCGGTTGGGTGGGGTAGGGCAAATCGATCCTCTAAGATCTAAAAAAATGAGAGAGCTAAAGACCCCAAGTTGACAGGAGAGGTAGGCCTGTATGTGAACTCATCTTTGGTAAATTGTTGTTCACTAGGTTGTGATCTTCGGGCAAAATAGGGTCGAACAAGGTCAGGCTCTGGATCTGTGGCCGAAGTGCTCTCAGATCTCCTCGCGCAACCGTCTTTAAGATAAATACCTTTGAAAGGAAAAGGTTATTTGCATCCATTTCAGATCAGTAATGTGAATTGACCTTTAGAACGTAAGAATGATCAGAAACCATCAATGTTATTTTGATATTTGACTGTACAATTGCGATCAAATACTACTCTATGTGCCATACTTCCCGAAACGAAAGATAAGTCAAGGTCATTTTAGGTCAGTAACTTTCCCTTACCTTGATGGAGTCGAAATGAGTAGTATTTGGATGTCCTTGTGGTTCAGAAATGCGAAATCAGCATTCAAAACTACCGTATGAAGGAAGTTGCCCCAACACAAAGTAGTTTGGTTTTGACGGCGATCTGATGTTTACACCTCACCCAGGACAATGGTCCTAACCAGTCGTAATTATCATTGCAATTGCCTGATTGGTTAAGGAACCATCTCAAACTTGTATGGCTTCGTCTAACACTCATTGGTCAAGCGCTCTGTCACGGCACGTGTCATCAATCGTGTTAGAAATGAGTTGAATAAAACCTAGTGCACGCCATTAGTGAATAATTTTAGGAATCGGCCTGGTGATGTTCACTTATCAAGGGTAGGCGACCTGCCCGGAGAGTGAACAACGCCAGCCGAACACGGCATCACCCTGACCGCAAAACTTAAGACTCACTTTTATCCGTGAGGAAAGACCAGAGGTTAAAATTGAATTGCCGCCATTGCCTGTTCTATAAGCCTCGCCTGCCTTCTTCGTCATGTCAACGCTACCGATGTGGAGTTGTGTCTGTTATACCATGAGTCATCTATGCCCGTGTCCGCGATGTATTCGTATGTTGAAATACGCGCTCTCATACCTGTCCAAACTATCATTTTGGCTTAGTGAGGTCTGAAAGGTGCTTAGCACGCATTAGTTAAAATCTCCAAAAGCTTTTTAAACCGTAGCCTTTTCCCTACCCTAAGCTGCCTGATGTAGTACTGTTACACGCTTGAGGAAGACAAACGGTAGCAAAACAACATTAATGTAGCATAGATCTTTCTTTTTTGCATGGTTACGAGGAAATCGTGATTCAGTGATCATCATTTTATTAGCATAATGTTTCTCGCAACAGCACTTAACGTATACCAACTAGCCAAAAACCCAGGGGTGTAACGCTTGTTAATTTAGATGGCGATCCTGTCGGGGTTCTTGACGTTGTGGTCTGCCTTGATGCGGAAAAATTAGTCATTTCCAGGTTGTTTAATGGTGTTGACAGACTGAAATTTAACGATTGTGGGAAATCAACACTTGCATGAAGCCATTCATGTTAACGTTATGATTGGATACTTGGAAAGATGGATCTTTTAAGTTTAAACTTATTAGTTCTCTGTTGTGTTGTTTTATTGGAGTGCCTTCCTGCGTTCTTGCTTTGACGTTACACACTTTTAGGGCAATAACCGAAATTCCTCTTTGTCTCCCCCACATTGCCATCCCCCCCCCCCCCCCCCAGTGTAACTGTCCTTGAAATAATTATGCATCTTAGCCAAACCCAGATGATTCAACCGGGTTGGATTTTGTGTTGGATTTATTATTGGCTGGATTTCCTGCCACCACGAAACGCCTCCCTGACGACGTTGACATCGACGAGAGGAGGGCAAGGGCGCGCAGAGGTTGTACCGGCGTGCCGAACATCTTTGTTATTGGTGTATAGGTATCTTGAAGACAAGCAGTCTGAACGACTCCTCCCCTAACAATTGACGGCTGCAGAGAAGTTTTAGGGAAGCAAGGTTAAGACAGACCCGTCCCGCGGCCTTGCGTGAATTGAAAGAACTGTATCGGTCGTTTTAGCCCACATTCATCGCTATTGCGCGCGTCTCGTGATTCATGAAAGTGTTTACTTTGCAGGCCAGCAAGTGAAAAAGGACTCGTTGTCGGAGTCTTCTTCAGAAGTCGATCTCGAGCAGGGTAACATGATGAGTCAAGAAATGTCCACCAAACTGAACTGTGCACCCAGGCACAACAACAATGTGAACGCCATTAGCATCGAGACGGACGTCTGACAATAGGTTAGCGCTGGCAGCGACTTTTTCAGCTCACAGAATGCCAGCGCCCAGCTGGTGCATCCCAATAGAGTGATGCATTATCTCCACCGCACAGTTAAAGCTTTGTGTCTTTGCCGGGGTTCTCCATCTTATTTTTCCCTGTTTGAAAATAAGCTTTATGAGAAGGGATGTCTGAGTAATGATATTCCTAATGTACTCGCCGCATCGGTGGATGTTCATGGTACATTATGAAGGCGCCTTAAAAGAACGGGACAGTGTGATTATTGCTGTCGCGAATCTTTTTGTACCAACGCTCGTTTTTTTTCTAATGTTATATAATGTCACACGGGGGCAGGGCCAACAGAACCCCTCGGTCCTGCAGACCCCGTGTTTCAGTCTCGTTCGTACCTATTTTGTATTCCGTCTCTTTCGGTCGTATCCTCCTCATTCGTATATACCGCACCGGGCGTGCGGCACCTCGCCATGCTGCCGGCCCCGTGCGGCCCACGCTGCCGGCCCCGTGCGGCCCTTGCTGCCGGCCCCGTGCGGCCCATGCTGCCGGCCCCGTGCGGCCCATGCTGCCGGCCCCGTGCGGCCCTTGCTGCCGGCCCCGTGCGGCCCTTGCTGCCGGCTCCGTGCGGCCCATGCTGCCGGCCCCGTGCGGCCCATGCTGCCGGCCCCGTGCGGCCCACGCTGCCGGCCCCGTGCGGCCCTTGTTGCATTTTCCGCCAGAGACCGCAAGTCGTGAGGGTAAAATTAAACCTCAAAATGTAGGACCAAGCCCAAAATTTGTCTATCATTCATTTTTGTCGTGTATCATGGAGTCGATTATATTCTTTACGTCACTACGCTTGTCGTGCTGAGAAACGTTCTACAAACCACACAACGACCAGTGTTCGTAACAAATTATTCCATCTTATGTGTGGTACGATGCTAGCACATGTCACTTGGTCGCATGGTGTGGCAAAAACAATATTTAGTTTGCATCTAGCATGAAAGCCGGCGCAGTTTGCCTGGAATAGTTGGTGAGGCACTTGTCACATTGTTTGCATTTTGTTTGTTACACTTGGCCGTTGGCTTGCGAAGGCGTTGACCGGAGTGAACTAAATACTAGAGTGCTGCTCAACATCTACTGTTTGATCTCGGGCGCTCCTTTTTTGAAAAAGTGCAATGCTCAGTTGATACACTTCTCAATTCGTCATCGTTTGATTACATCGTGGAACGTTTTTTTAGGACAACAGGGTCGCTGCCAGACTAGCCGTTTCAGCATTGTTACTATAACACGCGCCGGTGGCCGGCTGAATACCCTTGGCTTGGGTGGGAGGGTGGGGGTCAATTTGACAACGCCCCTGAGATCTCAAGAACTATGGGAGCCAAAAACACCAGATTCACAAGGTATGTTGATCTGTACGTGAACTCACTTAGGTCAAAGTTTGAGATTCCTAGGTCATGATCTTCGGGTCAAATAAGGTCAAACAAGGTCAAATTCTAACTTGGTCTCCAAAGTGCTCCCAGAACCTAGATAACTGTTTCTAAGCAAAAGGTCACATGCTCATTTAAGGTCGGTGACCTTGTTTGACCCTTTGAAGGTCATGGTGACCAAACTCATACAAGACTGCTCTGAGTTTTGCATTTGAATAAGCGACAAAGACCACGCTAGCCAGAATGTTCCTAAAAAACAAATGTTGACCTGGATCATTTCAGGTCAGTGACCTATTCTGACCTCTAAGCAGCCCATGGAATATTTGGAATACGGTTCCTGCCATCAGTAAATTCAAAATGAGCACCAGAAACTATCCCGTTGGTTTTGACCTTAGTCTGACCTTCATACCTGACCTTAGGCCAATTCAGTTTGCTGATTAAACTGTTGTGTTGCCTAAAAAATAATTTCAAAGATGTATGGCGTCGTCTGACATTTTGTTGTTGCATTAGATTGAACGATTCCTTAGAAATTGGCTTCGCTGAAACCATGGCCTGATTTTGATCTGCCATAGGTCAGCGACCTTACCAGTTACATGTAAATTTTTTCACCAAACGATCCGCTATTCAATTGTCTAAAGTTATGCCAAATTTGGCGCGGCTTCGCCATGCTGTTCAGAAACCATTCTGGAAAAACCTTCGGGGGGTCGATTTGACCCCCACCCGAGCGCGTGATAATGGGCGGGTTGTCTCACTTGCAGTACTTCACTGTGGCGCAAAGTCGCTTCTTTGCATTTTTTTGTGGGGGCGTTATTTTTAGCTTCCTTAATGCCTGGCTGATGCCCGTCATAATATCCCATATGCCCGTATTATGAGAACTGAATAAAACGCGGTAAGATAGCTGAAAGCCAGCTGCTGTCCGTCCAAGCGGCGGCTCGTGCTGATGTACACCACACAAATATGTCAATGGTCATATCTGTCTTGACCTTCAACACAGTTTGGGTTTTTGAGAGGTCGGAAGCCGTCTGGTGTCGCCACAATTAAACCAAAGCATAGTCATGGGTAGGTTAACACGCGCTCGGCTGGGGGATCAAATTGACCCCCCCCCCCGAAGGTTTTTCCAGAAAGTTTTTTTCGAACGGCGCGGCGTAGCCGCGCCAAATTTGGCATAGGTGTAGACACTTAAATAGCGGATGGTTTGACATCACAAATTTAGGTGTACCTTGTAAGGTCACTGACCTACGGCAGGTCAAATTCAGGCCATGGTTTCAGCGAAGGCAATTTCTAGGGAATCCTTCAATCTGATCTAACAACGGAATGTTAGACGAAGCCAGACATCTTCGAGATGCTTTCTTAGGCAACACAACACTTGAATGAGCAAATTACATTGACCTTAGGTCAGGTATGAAGGTCACATCAAGGTCAAAAACAGCCTGTTTTGTTACTGTAGGGCTTGCTGCATAGGTATAGTTTCTGGTGCTCATTTCGAATTCATTGACAGCAGAAACCGCGTTATACATCTTCCATAGGCTTCTTAGAGGTCAGAATAGGTCATTGACCTAAAATGACTCAGCTCGAAATTTCGTTTTAGGAACGTACTGCCTAGCGTAATCTTTGTCGCTTAGTCAAATGCAAAACTCAAAGCAATCTCGCATGGTTTTGGTCACCTTGGCCTTCAAAAGGTCAACAAGGTCACTTACCTTGAATAAGCATGTGATCTTTTGCTCAGGAACGGTTTATAGGTCCTGGGGACACTAAGGAGACCAAGCTGGAACTTGACCTTGTTTGACCTTTTTGACCCGAAGGTCATGACCTAGGAACCTAAAACTTTGACGTAAGTGAGTTCACGTACAGGTCAACACAACCCGTAAATTTTAAAATTTTGTATCTTTAGCTTCCTTAGTTCCCGAGATCTCAGGGGGGTCATATTGACCTCCACCCGAGCAAAGGGTATCTAGCCGGCCACCCAGGCGCGTGTTAACGGACACAGCAGCTTGAACCAATACTGAACGAAATATTTGTTCTCGATGGTGAGTGGCTAGTGCGTAGCATCAGCTGTTTAATTTAAGGCAAATACAAGGACAGTTGAGGGATTCTTTCTTGAGCTATTTGGTAACCTTTTTGCCACGAACTTCATCTTCAAGTTGTAATTCATTCTGCAGAGCTCTGGCCTCAGAGCCCAGTGTGTGGTGAGTACCACGTTGTGGGATTTCATCATGGCAGCGTGTTATCCCGTGGTGAAGACAGAGTTCGGAAGCCAACATTTCAGATGTTTGGGATGTCCCCGGACTGAAAAGCTGCACTTCGGAACTTTTCTCCTTTCCTTTTTTGCACCTTCCTGTTCAGTCAAGGAATCATCAAAATATAGGTTGTTGGGGTTGACCCAATCCATTAATTATGTCCTCAAAAGCCGTCATCTATTTTATTTGATCCTGTGTCAGCTATAAGCAACCATAGCTTTTATCGATTTTGACATTCCCTCACTCTGGTACCATTGACTTTCATACAGGTCGTTGTCCATTCAGGGCTCGCCGCCTTTTGAAAGTACCGCTCCCACTGCGAGACTTGTCGTTGACGGCCACTTGTGCCTTTTTCCAGACGCCAACGTCTGTTTCGCCGGACGAAACGGAGCCAAGTGCCAAGCTTCCTGTTCAGCTCAATGTACGCCGGACTCGGCAGCGGCCGGGGCAGCGGCGGCCGTGGCGCGCTGGGCCGGCGTCGGCTCCCGCCGGCCGTCTCACCGCTGGGACCAGCAGGGGCCGGGCCGCCACCTTCCACCCCTGTGATACGGGCTGGCTGGACATGCGCCTGCCGCCGCCTCTCTCCAGTGATAGAGCTGGCGAGCCGGCCGCGGCCGTGGCTGAGCCGCCGCACCACTCGGCGGCCCCAAACGCTGCCTTTGTTGCGACCGGTTCACTCGCGTGGCATGCTACTTGTCCTTAATTCGTCTCGTCAGATCGGCGTTCGTGCTGCGCGCAGCCGCTTCCAGTGTGCTCGTGCTGAGTGGTCAGGTGACTGGATGGTCAGGTGACTGAGTGGTCAGGTGACTGCATGTCTGCTCACGCCCACTGCGTGCCAAACCGATGTGTGGTCGTGTTGGGCGGCCGTCGCCAGCGGCCGCAGCAGACTCGCCCGTCGGCACCCGCCCCCCGACCCCGCTCAAACCTGCCGCCCTCGCCTATCTACTGGATTTTGTTTGTGCCCATCTGAGCGCCCTCGACTGGAGATCAGCGGCGGCGGAGCTGGAAGACGACGGGGCGGCCGCTCCTGACAACCTGACACCGTGCGGCAACACTTGGCAGGGCCACATCACATACACTCACTGCCCTTGCTGAGAGGCGTGTCAGACACGCCCGACGTCAGCTGACGTGATCACGTGACAGCACCTGATAGGAGCACCTGACAGGAGCACCTGACGGAGCATCTGACAGGAGCATCTGACAGGAGCACCTGACGGGAGCACCTGACGGAGAATCTGAAAGGAGCATCTGACAGGAGCACCTGACAGGAGCACCTGACAGGAGCACCTGACAGGAGCACCTGACAGGCACACCCCACAGGCTCACCTGACCCGGGTACTCCGCCCTGCCAGGGACACCTGACAAAAGGCGACTCACCGCTATATCGACAGAGGCGTGTGGCAGAGGAGAGGGAAGCCTGACACACGCGATCTGGAGGTGTTCCGTGGCGTCCCACCGCTCCGACCCCGCACACCTGCCTTACCTTTGTGTTGACAATCGGCCCTTTGCTGTGGTGCCCAGCGGTGGCACGGTTTACGCAGGTGATGTATAGTGAGACAGAGTGTGCTGCCAGGTGTTGGGTGTGGCAGCTAGTCCAATTTTACTAGTCTATGTCCGGTATTAAATTGTTCGCCATTGACGCTGGCAAGCTTCGATCTCTTGAATTGTTCTTGCGTAATCAACTAGAGAACAACCTAACGGACATTTTTATATTGCATTTCTTATGTCACTGTACATAGTGTTGTAAAATGTACATAGACGATGTCTGCAGTTATTTACATTGCCATTGTTACGTGGGTGGCATGCCCGCATTGTTGATCTTTATCTATCTATCTCCGATTCTCTTTGACCGGCCTCGCTGTCTGGGTACGGGGGCCGCTGTGTGCTCTCTCCTAGTTGTTCAATATCGCTCGGTCCACGCCGGCCTTCGGCTGCCTTTGGTCCGCGGCTGACAGGTTCGTCATCACATGTCATTGCTGTACCTGACTGGGGCCGGCTAGCGACACTTCTACCCCCACTGACCTAGCCTCATGCTCCGCCGGGTCAAGGAGGTCGGCAGCCTGAGCAGGTATGTCTGATGGCGCCAGGTGCTAAGAGTAAATCACAGAAATTCCGGATTTTCCTCAAGCGATTGGTTCAAATGCATCCCGTTGAACCGCCTTCAGCAGGACGAGCGGCAGTCGGAGCGAAGCTGTGTAAATCCGTCACTTATGAAATCCTCGCTCACTTCTCTCACTCGGTACCGCAAATGCCGCTGGCACCCAGCCAGGTTCAAGTGTGGTGCTCCAATCTCATAATCAACTCGTGAGGCGCCAACGGCGTTGTTGATGCGCGCCAGTTGTTATGCATCTCTCCTGTCTTCTGCAGTCGGCCCGCCTGGCCGTTATTTCTGCTCTGCTGCGTTGCTCTGCGTGCGCACTTCCCGGCCGCTGGCTCCCGGTAGGCAGGCGACTCCCCTGGGACATTGGACTGGACCGCTCCCTGACCTTTTCACCCCTGGCAGCACGCTCTCCTCCAGTGCCCTGCTGGCCCCAGTGGTCCAGTCCCGCTCCAGCTCTCGTCTGGAGCACATGCCGTGCCCTGAAGGGAAAGATCGGAGGGAGAGAATAACGCTGTGTGACCAGCTCACCGTGGTGCGTCTCGCACTATCCATCCAGCTTCTCGTGGTATGGGCGCAGGCTACCACCCTCTGTTTTAGACGGAACTTTGCACCGAGAGGGCCTTAACATGCACATGAAAAGAGCCTTGATACAATGGACGCTAATAATCTGCCAGTGTGGATTTGGATACTGCGGATGTAGCCATGTAACGTTCTAAAGCAATGGATGCGAATTCTAACAACAGAAAGCCGTGTGTGCGTGGCGACCGGGGGTGACGCAGTGACACCTGGCTGCCTATGAACGTTGCCAACGGGCTCCATTTCATGTCCGTCACATGGACGTCGCCATCCAGCGCTGAGTGCCATAAGAAGTAACGCCGAAGAAAACATGAACTTTTAACCTACCGCAACATGGCATTTTGAATAACCCTAAACCAGCCTCAACTGGCTAAGCCTCTTTGGCCGTCAATTTGCCAAGAGTTATAGCTCACTGTAGCACACATATAACCAAGGCTATGCTTGGCTGGGGTAGGCTGGTTTATCATATTCGGGCAGTTCGTCAGCGAATAACCCGTCTTTCTTGGAAACCCAGTGACGTTGTCAGAAATCGCACCAGATGACAATGTTCAGCTACGGCTGACCGGCTGACACCAGCCCGCATCACCCGAACTGCGTCACCGTCCCGGTCGCCGCTAGCCGAGGCTCGTGCGAGCGCGCATGAGGAGTTTTTTCTCTGGGATGCACCTACGTAAAGTTTCTATTGATCTGACAACACATAACTCCTGTTTGCAACCAGGCACCTTTAATTCCCCATGGTGCGGGATCTTTGAGGGAGACCCAGATCAAACGTGGGAAGCCTGCGCTGACCATACCGGGAATTGCCAAAACGATCCTGACATCCGTTGGGCCCGGCGGCGAGGCGACCGTAGCGTCACGCTGCCGCCAATGGCGCCTCGCCGCGGCCAGTCCGTCAACTACCAGCAGACCGCCGCCTCCCTTCCCGTTCGCTGCGGTCCGCCAGGCGGGACGAGGCCCCACAATCCACCACTGACCGGGCCAGCTGCAAACTCGCCACTCCCCCCTACCATATTATTGATCAAGAGCGCCAAACTCACAAGTGCACACGTGCGTATGTACTGTTGCATAGCCGTACTTTGTGAGCGGGTTGCAACAGTTGTTTTAACTCATTCGAAGTGCTTTAAGTGCCACTTCATCACGTGTGGACATTTGTTAACTGACGTTTTGCCCTCTCACGACTTCGTTTACTTATAAGCGTCAAACATTTGTCTTTCGGGTGAGTCTGGTCACGGACGGACAGCGAATTTTCCGGTGCCTTGCTCCTATGGTGGGGGCCGATCTCCCGGCGTTGGTTCGGCTCTTACATAGTCCATGGGACGCTTCAGCCATTTCTCCCTTGCGCATCTGTCCCAGCCTCCTCTGATCCAGGCATCAACTTGTTTGCCTCTTCATTGTCAATAAAGTATTTATATCAAGAACGGGCGTTTCCAGCACGGAACGGAGCACGCAATGACCAACAGGTCCAGTGCATCATGGTCAAAGACCAACACACGGCTTACAAAATCTGGACGGTCTCTAGGAGCCCGCCAGTGCAGAAAATATGATTGATTTACCCATCCGCAGCGTCGGGTCCCTAGCACGTACAATCCCGAGTTTAAAGCCCACCCTATCAGTCAGCGCCGCGGGACTGCCGTCCGCATATTGCATATCCCTGGCACTGCGAGTGACACAACGACCGCGACCTTGACGTGGGTGTGACCCGCAACATGTCAAGTCAGGTCAGTCCGGTCGATCAGTCAAGTCAGGTCAGTCAGGCCGATTAGTCAAGTCGTGTCAGTCAGGTCGATTAGTCAAGTCGGGTCAGTCAGGTCGATCAGTCAAGTCAGGTCAGTCAGGTCGATTAGTCAAGTCAGGTCAGTCAGGTCGATTAGTCAAGTCAGGTCGACAGGCACAGAGCGAAGAAATCAACGCCGAATAACACTCATCAAACTGAGCCCATCATCGCCTGATGTGGTCAATACCAAACCAGGGTTTCACTAGCTAATCAAGGGTTTGAACTGATCCTTCATAGCGTTTTGCTTTCCGCATGCGGGATATGGGTGGGCGGAGCGGAAGAGGCGGAGCGAGGTAGAAGTAAGAAGGGTTGCCTGACGGGGGTGGGCAAAATCGTGCATAACAAGGATATGGACCGTATATAATAAACATATCGAACGTGTTCAATAAAGACATGGAACGTGTACAATAAAGATACACAGATCATCAGTATTACGTTCTAGTACATGGTTTGCCAAATTTGGTCACAAAAAACGCAATTGGAAGGTTGGTTCCAGCTGAAAGGGGTCGGGACATTATCACTATCATTAACTAAATCGATAGTCTGCTGTCCAAGCGCTGCTCTGGAACTACATGTAGAGTAACTGGATAGCCACCAATCACTGCTCTTGAAATTCTGGCCTCGCATACAGGAAAATGTGTCCATTTCATCGCACCATGTCAAAGATCCCGGAGGAGGCGGTGATGGAGGGACGGAAGGTGGGAACAGCCCAGAAGTTATTGTATCCGGGTTTTGGTTATGAGGCCAAGTTGGAAAGAGCCTTTTTAGACAGAGGCAGTCGCCCCTGAGGCCGAGTGAAGAGAGATATGCAACAAACAGACAAAGAGACGGAATACGGAAAGACGGAGATATGGTCTTGAGACATGCGGACGGGGAACGGAGAGCCAGTCAGGTTCACCGAAGGACTGAGGTACCCAAAACATTGAGATGCAGGCAGCGGACAACGGAGATGCATGTAGACAGCACTACGAAGGGGCTATGACAAAGTACAGAGGTTAGTGATGACAGCCTGACGGGCGAAGAGACGTAATGCAACGAAGGCAAGGTCATTGGATTGCTAGATGGATCAAAGTGGGGATAAACAGACGGAGGGACAGAGCGGTGCATGGACCGGCAAATATGGAGAGAGTTGTGGGCAGGGGTGGGGTAGAGGAGAGACGGGGGGAGACAAGGAAGGAAGAGGAGCCAGATGACCCGGGAACCGGAAGGAAGAGGAGCCAGATGACCCGGGAACCGGAAGGAAGATGAGTCAGATGACCCCGGGGACCGGAAGGAAGAGGGGCCAGATGACCCCGGGGACCGGAAGGCGTTGCGAGGCGAGAGAGGCGGAAGAAAAGATTGAGAGGAACGGCGGTGAGGGGTGACGAAGCTGCTGGGTAAGGCTGGTGGGAGACAGGAAGACGGCGACACCCGGGAGATAGAATATCACACATGGACGGAGGAGTGGCTGAGAGACAGCACGCTCCGATCTCAGCCACCCCGACTCTCGACGCCGACAGATTGACAGAAGGATAACAACACTAAGGACTGACGGGGTCAGATCCAACGACAGATATTGAGATCGAGACAAAGTGTGGTGATGGTATGCATAGATCCACACACACTGATGAGTGTTGGGAGTCAGTCCCTTGACGAAGAACAGGCATACGAATAAACGAGTGAAGACGAGACAGAAAACAGGGGCAGAGAGCGTAGAGACGAGGATACGAACGTACGGATAAACTAAGAGAAAACGGACATCCAGAGAGCTTGATGGACCGTTGGTTACTTAGCAGTGGTTTGCAGACTGGTTGTTACTTTGGAGTGGCTTGCAGACCGATGGTTACTGAAGTGAGTAAAGAAAAACGTACAAAAAATAGTGATTAGCATGCCGTACAAGGCGAAAACCAAGTACAGCATGCTGTCGTAAATGGACTGCTCAGGTGCATCGCCCGCACATCGGACACGGATAGGCCGGCTCGAGGCGGGTCTGAGAGAACGCTGGTCATACGCACGGAGAATCCGACCGACAGGCTGGCGTTCTACGCTTACTGTCTTATCCCAAAAAGCCTGCTGATCCCGGAGCACAGCTGTAGGCATAACTGGACTGTTCCCCTCGCGAGACTGAGTGAAGTCCAAAGAACCCTGCTTCGAACATCACAGAACCCAGCCGGATTTGGCCCACTTTCTTTCAAAGTTGAGGCTGGGGCACAAGCTGGGGGAGGGGAGGGGGGAGAGGTCTGAAGCCTTCCAACTGAGCAGGCAACTACACCGCTGTATCTCAGCTTTACAATCATCCCACGTCCTATAAATCATCTTAGATGTGTTAAACAGGTCAGTGGAGGCGCGTTTCACGTCTAACGCTGAGCTTGACAGCATCCAACTTGTTTCAGATGTTATGATACGAGATGTGAAGTGATAACTCAGGCAGTCTCAGGTTCGGCATCACAGGCACTCTCAAGAGCACCTCAGATTTCGGCATCACGCGCATGTTGGCTCAAAATGCATTCCAGGAAACCTCGGGGAAAGGTAGTGTGTCTCTAAGGTATGCCCCCCCCCCCCCCCGTTTGGCTCGGGTTGAATTGTTTAAAATTACATTATTTTGGGTGCATATCTACAATAACTTTCGCGAAAACGATTTATTTAACAGTACATACGCTACAACAAATTATCGCACCATTTTTCCACGGAATGCAGTGTGTAGTTTTCTAAATGTTTGTCTTAGGTACGAGCTATGTCAGCAATTTTGCCACGTGCATTTCCTATATCACGCTTTGAATAGTCAGCGTTTTAAATTTATCAGCGTTTGCACCCAGCTTTGTTTTGTTCCACCTAGGACAACGGAATTTATTATTGAAGCCCAAATCTGAACTAAAAACGTAGTGTATATATCAGACGCTAAAATGACTACTACATATAAAACAGAAGTGAGACACATAGGTGATTGTAGATGCGGCGAGAGTGTGAGAACCCTGGGATCTGGCTCACCGTTCGATTATGCATATCGACCCAGCGTTGGTGCCGACAAGTACGCCCCCGGTGTTACGATACCGGGAAATGCGACCACCTTCTGGGAGCGAAGCGCTGTTGGCACTGCACAGCTTTGCCCTCCGATCCGGGCAACCGCTCAGAACTTGTCACACAGCAAATACACCGTCTCCGATTGGCAGCAAACAAATTTTGACAACTTGAACACCTCTGAAGGAAAACGTGTTGTTGGAGAACAAGTCAGAAGCGACTCGCTCCGGATAATGCGCGACACCGATTGCGTGGTGACATATGGCCAAAAAGAATCCACACAACGCCTCGGTGAGCGTATAGGCGACGTGAACTATTGGCGACATGAGGTGGTTCATGAGCTGGAAATGAACGTTGCAGAAACTGAAAAACTAGAAGAAACAAAGCGACAGGCGGAATGCCTTCTTCGGGAGGTGGAAAACCCGCTTAGAATAGTTCAAGAATGTCTCTACGCTCGTCAGCAGAGGATGGGCATAGATCAAGTGCACGACGACGTTGAAGTTGGATTAAACCGTGAAATTGATGTGATCAAATCTATTCAGGAACGCCTGTGTCGTCTACTGGAACGAATCGCGCAAGCTCTAAAGGAGCTGGCCGACGCCAGGCAGTGTCTGGAGCGCGACTCTCTCGACAAGTTCTCCGCCCTGCACATCGACCGGTACGCGCATGGCCTCAACAACACCTCGCCGGGCATCGCGCTGTATCCGGGCATCGAGAAGTCAGACCGCACCATGAGCACGCCCGAATCATGGATCGACTACACCATCCGGCTCGTGCAAAGGTCACAGAACGCGCGCGCCGAGAGCTCGCGCCTGCGCGCCGAGGCCAAGAACCTCATCAACACGTCCATCAACGAGCTGTGGCAGGCTTGGAACAACACAAACCAAGCGCTGAAGCAGCGCGTCCAGCAGACGCAAGACGCCAAGAACAAGATCCAGGTGGAGCTGTCGCGCCTGATCCAGGAGATCGCCGACCAGGAGAAGTACCGGCAGGCGCTGCAGAAGGCGCTGGCCGATAAGTGCCCGCCGCTCAAGGTGGCGCACACGCGGCTGGAGCGGCGCACGCACCGGCCTTGCATGGAGCTGTGCCGCGACAACGCCATGTTGCGCCTGCAGAGCGAGGTAGGCGACATCTATGGCTCAATAGAGCAGCTAAAGCAGAAGCTGGCCGACACGGAGGCGGCCATCGCCGCCTTGCTAGAGCAGAAACACGACATGGAGGACGAGCTCAGGATCAAGGCCAACACACTGCTCATCGACCGAGAGCGCGTGCTGGGCTCCCGCCGAGCATTCCCCATTGGCTCACTCATCACCAAATGCATTTAGAGGGTCTGATTGACACTCCACCTCGGACACAACGCTGGCAAGCGCAAAGTTGCCTTTCTCGGGTGAATACCGTGCTACAGCAGATGAGTAGGTCGTTTTATTTCTCGATGAAAGCGCACACCTCTCTACCAGTTTTCGCAACATGTTTTGTTCGAACCTACTGTGCAAATGTGTGTCTCGGCCGTGAATGGTCTGCTCGAAAAACTTTAAAAGTACAGAAAAGCTGGATTGTCCACGACCTTGCTGTAATAAAGAAATGCGCCGTTCGCTATCGCAGATGGCCTCGCAGCCAATACCAAACGCGCACTGTTCAAACGCAGCAGCGATGCCCCGACCTCAATCCAGGTCACCTTAACCCGCCACCACCAAAACGAACAAATACAACCAGCCGCCCAGTATAAGCGCATGTGTATTGGCCGTGCACGCATTGGCACTCATTAAATGTAACATTTCTCACGAATAAAACAATCAGCCGGTCGACAGCACTTGAAGGCCTGGTGAGGGCGGGCGGGCCCAGCGCGCACGGCGCGGCCGATGGCAGTGAGCGACGCTACAACATGCCGAACCCCTTGCTGTACGTGATGGCCTTGAGCACCATTTCGCGGAGCTTCTCCCGCGTCCGGTAGTCGGGCAGCAGCAGCACGTTGAAGCAGGTGTGCGCCGTGGGTAGCCTGCCGCCAGCACGCCGTCAGAACACCGCGAGCGGCGTCACCGGGGAGGGGACAATGACACCGCAGACGTCAGACCTCCGTGGGTGGCGTCACCGGGGAGGGCATAATAGACACCGCAGACGTCAGACCTCCGTGGGTGGCGTCACCGGGGAGGGCATAATAGACACCGCAGACGTCAGACCTCCGTGGGTGGCGTCACCGGGGAGGGCATAATAGACACCGCAGACGTCAGACCTCCGTGGGTGGCGTCACCGGGGAGGGGACAATGACACCGCAGACGTCAGACCTCCGTGGGTGGCCTCACCGGGGAGGGCATAATAGATACTGCAGACGTCAGACCTCCGTGGGTGGCGTCACCGGGGAGGGTATAACAGACACTGCAGACGTCAGACCTCCGTGGGTGGCGTCGACCGTTGTCTAGTAGACAGCAACGACTTACTTGTAAACAAAGTCATTTAGTTCGTCTGTCAGCCAAGCTAGGAAGGGATCTGGGCCGTGATGTCAAAGGCAAGTCAAGTAACTAAGCCATACGTCAAATGGGACTACTGCAAATCAGGAATGGGCTTTCATTTGCCAACGAAGAACGGCCGCTGGGGTGCATTGGGATGACGCTGATGTGTACATAGCTTAATAATTCCGTATGTACTCAAATGATCAATTGTTGAAAAGGTAAAGGAAGCATCTGGATCATGGAGTTCAGGCAGAGCGGATAGAGCAATGCTTCATACGCAAACAGTTAAGTTCCTATGGGCTCCCTAACCAGCGGAATACCTTGTGCAGCGTGGAACAAGCGAGATTATACCAGACGTGAGGGTTGTCGGTTGTCGATATGCAGATGATACCAACAGCTGAGCTAGTGGAGCAAGCACCATAGACGGCCGATCAGCTGGCATAAAAGGCAGGAATGACGCACAACACGTACAGGACAGCGTCGGAGCACGCGTGCTAACAGATGATCAGGTCTTGACGGGGCGCGCTGGCGTTGCGGGGCCCACTGTGCAGTGGACGCATCGGCCAGATCGGTAGCGAGTGGCCGCGTTGGCCGAGCCCCAGCTGCGGCCGGGCCCCTGCCGCCGGTGCGCCGGCGCGCGCTCACCGGTCCGTGTCGGGACCGTTGCGGGCGATGATGAGCTTGAGCTTGCGGAGGCCGCCGACCGGCACGCGGTCCGAGCCGGTGGTGAACTCCAGCAGACGGCGCCGCTGCTCGGCCGTCATCTCGTCGTGCACGACCTCCCAGAAGCGGCGCACGGCCAGAGAGTCGCGCGTGAAGCCGCCATCGTACTCCGTGCCGGCCTCCAGCTCCCTGAAGTCGTAGTCCTGCGGTGGCGCGTCGCCTCAACCAGTCAGCACCAGCATTACATCCCAGTCTCCTAGAATTGGCGACTTTAGGTGCAAAACAACACCACATGAGGAGAATTTTCACTCCTTTTCTCCACATTTTGTGAACATTTTTCATTCTTTCCTGATATTGCCCAGCCGCGCATATATATATTGGTGGCGAAATTGTGTTTTATCATACACACCTCATACCTATTTGGCTTGATATTTATACTTTGTGGGTGGGTTGGATGGCCCTGTCTGTCAGCAAACCATACAAAACATACAAACTTTTTTCGTGGCGAGCAGAAAGAAGCATGCCCTTACAAAGCCAGTGTCTGCTGTGGGGTAACTAATTGCTAACCTTGCCAGCTTTCAACACATCATTTGTAACCAGATCCAGTCGTTCTCTGTTTGAATGGATCAAGTTGTGTTCATAAGACAAACTATGATGCCACAAGACACGTAATTGGAGTATTTTGTTCCATATTTTTGATCATTTGCCTCAAATTTGTTGAAGTAGTCTCTCATGTCTGCTTTAACAAGATGTTGTCCGTAGTTGCCGTGGGTTGCTGACTGGTAAATGACTACTGTAGATATGCACTATATTTTTTAACACAGGAATACCCTAAGCTGCACAGCAATTACAACATGAGGTGCACATAAGGTTTTAGGAAATAGACCAGCCCATCTGAAATGTGAAGCAAACATCACAAACTTTATAAATAACAATCAATATAAATAGCAAAATATAAGTGGATGCCTTTGCTGCAGCTGAAGAGACACATAGCGCAACTGGTTTTGTGGTCATCTAGAAGTTATGTTACCTTTGGAGAACAGAGATTGCTTTGTGGAGCATACCCACTACCGCGCTTCATGGAGGCTGACCATGATGCCAGAATGAGTTATTCAAAGCGATTTGAGTGGCTCTGATTTGTGCGCTGTCAACTTTGGTGTTAACAAGCTAACACAAATGAAATGAACCAAAACACAAGTTGAAACCAGCAAAAATACGATTCATGTCTTTATCACAACTGCTGCTGAAATAGATGCGGTGTGTTTTTCTTTTTTAAATTTGACCCGAAGCCTTTGAATAGATGGATTTCTGGGATCAGCGCTCACACTAAGCCGCGCTTGTTGTGTGAGCCCTGACCCCCACTATCCGATCACGCGATTCCAGGCAACGGCAGAATTTAGTGGCGAAAGCTTAACGTACCGCAATGCTCGGCACGATCCGTCCTGCCCTCTGACGTCAACTGACCTTTAGCGCGACCGCTGCCACCGGCCGCAGGCCATACCTGTCAAGGGCAGATAGCGAGCGCCCTAAAGCGACTCGAACCCGCCCCGCCACGGGAGGGTGGATCGGAAGGCAGGCGCTCTAACCAGCTGAGCTACCGGGACGGACAGGAGTTGAGGAGTTGACGGAGGCGGAGTTGAGATGATATTCAACGCATGGGCTACTCTAAACTAGGTTAGGTTGGTTAATTGCATGGCAAGTGGCAGAGGGAATTTTGTCAGAACTAGTGATTCACAAGTGCTAATGTGATTCAAATATGTTAGACAGGATGAAATGAGGTGCGGCTTCTTTAGGTAAGGCTTGGTTACGTTACTTTCATGGAAATAAGCATTGACATTTTGCAACAAACAAAAAAAAAACAGTGACGCGATATGTTATATTTCCTGACCCTATCTTAACAGAAGCCGGAGGTATGTCTGTTGTGTTTGATTGGGTGGCGGATTGATGTGCAGGAGTCCAATTTTTTTTAATGTCTTATACTTGTCGAATTATTTGTAGTTTTTGCTGTTCCACTCCTTCGCTTTGTTTTGCGTTAAAAATCCTGTGGGAGGGAAGTGCAAAGTGCAGCATCAAAACGTTGTTGTTACAAAGTTTTTGATGCTCATCATACTGTTATCCAATGACAATTCTTTAATGCATTCTTATTCGCTGTAATGACCTGTGACCGCCGATGTTAATGTTAATGATAACCGCTGTACGATGTTACAAAAACAGAAACGGTTTTGTCATATTTATGATATTACGCCCACGCCAACTTGAAATATGTCTTCGTTTTCTATAGCATGTCTTACTGACTCATAAGTTCCAACTTTTATTAATTGAATTTTTAATCCCTGTAGTCTTTCTGCGATGGAATTTTTGAATCCCACCGCAGCTAAAAGGCGATTCTAGCTCATCTTCTGACCTCCCCCGTTGTCCCGTGGCGACGCGCCGCCTCAGCACCTGTCAGTCTCAGCGCCTGATCTCTCCCCGTTGTCCCGTGGCGACGCGCCGCCTCAGCAGCTGTCAGTCCCAGCGCCTGATCTCTCCCCGTTGTCCCGTGGCGACGCGCCGCCTCACCGCCTGTCAGCCCCAGCGCCTGACCTCTCCCCGTTGTCCCGTGGCGACGCGCCGCCTCAGCACCTGTCAGTCCCAGCGCCTGATCTCTCCCCGTTGTCCCGTGGCGACGCGCCGCCTCAGCGCCTGATCTCTCCCCGTTGTCCCGTGGCGACGCGCCGCTTCAGCAGCTGTCAGTCCCAGCGCCTGATCTCTCCCCGTTGTCCCGTGGCGACGCGCCGCCTCACCGCCTGTCAGCCCTAGCGCCTGACCTCTCCCCGTTGTCCCGTGGCGACGCGCCGCCTCAGCAGCTGTCAGTCCCAGCGCCTGATCTCTCCCCGTTGTCCCGTGGCGACGCGCCACCTCAGCACCTGTCAGCCCCAGCGCCTGACCTCTCCCGTTGTCCCGTAGCGACGCGCCGCCTCAGCACCTGTCAGTCGCAGCGCCTGATCTCTCCCCGTTGTCCCGTGGCGACGCGCCGCCTCAGCGCCTGATCTCTCCCCGTTATCCCGTGGCGACGCGCCGCCTCAGCAGCTGTCAGTCCCAGCGCCTGACCTCTCCCCGTTGTCCCGTGGCGACGCGCCGCCTCAGCACCTGTCAGTCCCAGCGCCTGATCTCTCCCCGTTGTCCCGTGGCGACGCGCCGCCTCAGCAGCTGTCAGTCCCAGCGCCTGATCTCTCCCCGTTGTCCCGTGGCGACGCGCCGCCTCAGCACCTGTCAGTCCCAGCGCCTGACCTCTCCCCGCTGTCCCGTGGCGACGCGCCGCCTCAGCACCTGTCAGCCCCAGCGCGTGATCTCTCCCCGTTGTCCCGTGGCGACGCGCCGCCTCAGCACCTGTCAGTCCCAGCGCCTGATCTCTCCCCCTGGCCCCCACTTCCCACGCTCAGGCACAGACCCTCGGCTCACTGGAATATTTGTATACAAGTTCTGCGGGGCATTTGATGGTAGATGATGCCTCTCACTTACAACTCAGACTACGGTGTTTCAGTACAAGCCGGCTTGAGGCCAACAAAGGGAATATTGTGCCCATGCCAAGCATAACTGTTAAGAAATATGACAATATCTGACTGGAAACTGGGTGGATTTCCGATACGCAGTACCAAATGCTGACCCGCTGACGTGGTACGCATTCCATTTCGGCGTGGTCTGCGATCCGGGGCAAACACGGCCACTAAACTTATCTCAATCAAAACTCGCTTTTCTTGGGTCAGCTTCACCAGGGAGTGACTCCTACCGTGTCGCGGTCATGACCGCATCTATCACTAACCAGACGCCGCGGGCCCTCAGACTGAGGTGGCGATGGCGGCGGGCCGACGGCCGCCGCGCCGACGGGCGCCTACCTTGCTGCCGCAGACAAGAAGCTCCACCTCCTCCGGCCGGAAGAGGCCCCAGAGCGGCGACTCGTCCGTGACCATGGTGAAGCCCCGCCGGAACGCCCGGAACTGACGCTGCACCGACGAGTTCAACAGGAAGTCGGCGTAGCTGTCCGCGAAATCCTGCGCGCAGCGAACCAAGTCGATGTGGCTGGGTGGCGCCGGCGGACATCACACGGCCCACCGGACACTCTTAGACACCCCAGCACGTGAGCAGCGGCTGAGCGGCGCCGGCGGACATCACACAGCCCACTGGACACCCTGGATACCCCAGCACGTGAGCACCTAATTCGAGGTAAGTCAAAGGAGGACGACGGCCAGCGAAAGGGGACCGATCATATGGTTCCGTTACTTGTACATTCAGGGTGCTACTGCTACTGCGCCTGTACCGCTAATGCACCACTAAAGCGAACATTACATGGGTTGTTGCAAACATACACATATTTGCACTTAGACGCATGTAAGCACAGTACACGGACAGGTCAGTCTTTTTTACACGCCTCCTTTACGTCGGTCGAAAACAAGTCTGTGTAGCCGTCTGTCAAAACAAAACAAATCAATCAGTGGCTTAAACGCGCATGCCTTCACACTCATGGGCCACCGTCCGGGAGGGGGGGGGGGGGGGGAGGGGAGCCACTGACCTGCACATGCCTGCACACTCACGGGCCACCGCCCGGGGGGGGGGGGAGCCACTGACCTGCACATGCCTACACACTCACGGGCCACCGCCCGGGAGGGTAGGGGGGGGGGACCACTGACCTGCACGTTGGTGCGGTTCACAAGCAGCTGGCTGCCGTTGGGGCGCAGGTCATGAGTCAGCTTGGCACCGAACACGTCCGTGTAGCCCACCTGGAAGCTCTGCACGAACACATCCTCCATATCGTCGCCGTCGTACTCAAGCATCGAGGTCAGGCTTCGGAACAGCGTCTGCCGGACGGAGGGAACAGCGTGACGGAACGCACGGGTGCGCCGGCCGGTCTCGCCACGCTCGCTCTGTCCGGGCACACATCGGAGCCGCAGCCAACACGACGGCTTCCTCCCGCGGCGCCTTCAGGAGCACTCGCCGCCACCAAACCTCACACATGACCCGTGCTGGCCGGACCAGGCCGCCGCTGGCTGCCAAGTGCTCACCGGACTCAGCTCGCTGAGGTCCTCGAACGTGCCCTTCTGTCCCATGAGCTTTCGGTACACCACCATCGGGAAGCGGATGTCCAGTATGACGTTGTTGTAGAGCGCCAGGCCGACCACAATGCCGATCAGCGTGAACTGGGCGTCGTTCTCAAACGAGGTTGGGTTGAACCAGTACGCTCGCGTCTCTTCGTTGTATGTGAACATGCCTGCCGGGTGCGCCGGAGTACGTCAGACGACGCAGCTGCATGGCTCAGCGACACAGACGTCGCCCATGTGACAGACGGCCGCGAGACACGGCCGAAAACGACACCCTCTCTCCTCGCTCGCAGGCAGATTATCCGTGCGCACCACGAAATTCACGTCACAACGCTGTAGTGATTGCATGCGACGGAGGGAAGCAGTAGCACAAATGTGTGTACATAACAGCGGTACCATGCAAAACGTCAGCAACGAACTCACACGACCACCCTCAAAATGAGGGGGAGTGCACAGAACGCACGAATTCCAACGTCGCAAATAATCAGTTCATGAAGCGGAAATGCACGGAAACGTAACGGACACACCAACAGTAACAGCACGCCAAGAACATGCCCTCTCTTGCACTTACCATAGTCCGGGTTGAAGATCGCTTCTACAATAAGCTGAAAGAACTCTTTGGACACGCCGCCCTCGTCCACACCCTGTTCGCCCTCGAATTGCACCACTAACTGCTTCTTCAGGTCGCTGGGATTCTCCAGCGCCATGATCTCCAGCTGGAACGGCCGAGCGCATTGTACAAAAGGACAGAAACGACAAAACAATGACAAAGCGCCCAAACCGATTGTTCGCGACGTTTTACGACTCAAGCCCTGCACCTTCCCCGGCTCATCCCACCTCTTGCGCGCCGCTGCAAACACCCTGCGTATGGCCTGCCAGCGCCACTGGGCGGCACGGGCGGCATACAACGCCAGCCGTGACTGGCTGAACCAAAACCCTGTCAGCTGACGGCACTCTGGGCCCCGTCCACTGACGCGAAGTGGCGCTTGGGCCTCGGCCGGCCGGCCGCCCGCACCTCCACCAGCGCGTCCTCGATAATGAAGTCGCGCCGCACACGCAGTCGCAGGTACGGCTGGCCGGCGCCGTGCACCAGGTTGTGCACTATGGCCAGGTGGCGCTCGTGGTACATGCGGATCCGACTGTCGTAGTACAGGCCCAGCGACTTGGTGGCCGGCGTCAGCACGAACGGGTGCCGCATGAAGCTGAACCGCTCCGGGTGCTCCTGCCGCACAGCCGCCATGGCCCGTCACAGAGGCGTCCGGCAGTGACGGCGGCCACGGCGCCGCCGCTCGCCCCGCCAGATGACACACAAGTTGGATTTCGAAACGAGAGAGTCGAGCAGCAGCCTGCAGTTATGACCCATGAAACGATGCAATAGTTCCGTCGAATGATTTGCGGCATCTAAGAAGTGTTGCGTAACGCGTTTTGCTGTTCGACCTATCCGTAAGTTAACTAAGCCCCTGAACTTTCAAAGCGAGTTACCAGAGTGTCCAACTGATATTTTCAGGGAAGCGTTGACTGCACACTGACACCAGTTAATCATGAGAGCCTCCAGGGTCGCCAAAGCTGACCTCCACACTCACAGCGTGCCGTCATGCCGTGGACCGTGCCGTGCCTACCTTGTAATAGCGGTAGTCATGGTCCATCTCCACTGCCTCGCTGAGGGGCTCGTTGTAGAACTCGTCAAAGCCGACTAGTGGCACTCGGCAGTCTATGGGGCGCGTGCCGAGCTCGCGCTCCAGCGGGTCTTCGTCGGGCGGCGGCGCGTACTCCTTGGCGGACGGCAGCAGGGAGTCGGCGGCAGCCGGCGGCGGTCGGCAGCTGCCGGCCGGCTGCTCGCGCGCCGCCGCAGAGTCGCAGCGGCCACCCACCAGACTGGCGTAGTAGAGCAGACGGATGAGGCGGACGGGCGCTGTGACGGCCTCGTCGTCGGTGGCCTGGTAGCCACGCGTCGCCTCCTGCTCGATCACCTTGACGGAGATGAGCTGCTGCAGCGTCTGCACCATGTGCCGGAGTCGGTCGGCCGGGTACCGGGCCCAGAGCCGCACCAGCTGCACCTGCGCTGCCAGCGGCAGCCAGACGGCCGCCTGGCACAGCCGCGGCAAGGCCAGCTCCAAAAACTCAGAACTGCTCAGCACGGGGATCTCCATCACCAGCAGGAAGACGTTCAGCAGGTCCGGGTCGCTGTGGTAGCCGTTGCGGAACTGCAAGCTGGCGCGCAGGCCGTCGGCCAGCGTGGTGAGCGCTGTCACCAGCGCGGCCGTAAATGGTGAGTCGCCGGTGGAGAAGAGCAGGCTGAACACGCGCCGTACGCTCTCCAGGTCCAGCGGCGACAGTGGCGGCGGCGGCGCGGCGGCCGCGGCGGCGCAGGCACCCTCCTTCTCGCCGGCATCCAGCTGGCCCTTCTCGGGCGGCGCGTCGCTCCGCCGCAGAAAGCTGCGCTTCAGCGTCTCCGTGTCCGAGAAGATGTGGCCGATGGCGCGGATGACCTGCGTGTAGTCCCTGGCGCGAGCGCTGTCCTGCACCAGACTGATCAGCCGGTCGGCGGTCCAGTCGCCGTCGGCATCCGGCTCTGCCAACACACGCCACACGGTCGGGGCCATGTCACCGCCGCCCGGCGCACACACAGGGCCGGCACTGGGCCGCCGCCGCCGCCGCCACCACCACAAAGGCCTGGCGCGTCGCCATGGTGACGCAGCGCGCTCTGACGACGCGCCAAACTGGCCGTGCTCCGGCCGCTATACAAAGCCCAGGAGGCCGGGGCGTACCCAGGCCATTCCACCCATCCCCAAAGGACAAACGTTATTGCACAATGAACTACTGGTAAGCTTAAAATCAAAACGAGTTGCGAAGCATCCCATTCCTAATCTCATCCGAAGCATCACTATCCTAATGGACCGAGGCGGACGTTATAGCAGCTTTACATGCAAAGCTTCCATCTGTTCAGCTGCACGCTGCAATGCCGCATAGCAATGCCGCATAATAAAGGTGCATTATTATCTTTCCATGAGACATGAATCTACCACAGTCCAATACATATCAAGCTCCATCACAATGTAGGCACCGTGAGATAGTGCTGCCGGATAAGAAAGTCGGCGCAAAATAACTCCTTCCCAGGCAAATAGATTCGCTCTGTAATAGATAAGACTCTTACCAGAGGAAAAAAATAACAAGAGCTCGTGATGGCAGGACTACGTATGGTAAAATGTTCGCCAGGAAAAAATGGGAAAAAAATTCGTCGGGCAAAAGTTCGTATGGAAAGAGGTCGTAAGCAAGTGTTGAACCCAAATGTTCGGACACGAATGCCAAGTCAAGGAGTCAAGGGCGGCCAAAGTACAGGACAACGTTCGTCTCACGAGAGAACATACGAAAATGTTGGTATTTCGATACCTGATGTAAGCACACCAAGTATGTCGGCCAGGATCGAAGTTTGTTTGACGACAGCACGTAAGCAAGACCTCGTATACATATGTGTGCTGAGCGTCAAAATGCATATACTCGTTTTTGGCACCAGGCGCCAAATGAATGGTCGCTGCGGGGGAGCGGGTCCGTCATCCCATCCCGTCGACTGGGGAAGGAGAGAAGTAGGCCATGGCGGTGGACGTTGACAATTGCATGGGTCAGCTTAGGTGTTGTGGTAACCCCAGCCCTCAATGACATGAGCTTTAAGCTCTGATGCCACCAGCAAAATGAGCTCGAATCAGTGGGGGTTGAGCAAGATGGCACTCGGGTGGAGGGGACTGGAGATTTCATAACAAAGCATATTCACTGCAGATGCCTGGCCGGGTCGTTGTGCTCCTTCATTATCCCTCATCCTGCCGACATGCCTGTCTGCGACTCCGCCTCACGCCTGTGAGCGCGTCGCTGACGTCAGCTGACGGACGCGGCGAGTCAGCTCGCTCGTGGAATACGGCCGGTACACGCGCCGGTGGCACGCGCTATACGATTGTTCACAGAAATAAATCGGATACCAGAGCCGATTCCAGCACGCACAAGCTGAACACGCTCTGATACATCCTCTTCGATTAGGATCCTGGTTGTACCCGACCCAATATTGCCTGAGAGCATCATTTTGAAACTGTACGCCGGAGAGAGCTAGAAGTTACTCACTCACATTCATACCTCAGATCATCCCCGACAACTTTCGACGAATTTTAAGAGGTGCCGATGCACAATTCGGTATCATGGTGATCGATTTTGTGCAGATTGCTCCCCACAGAAGCATCATCCACCAGTCACCAGCCATCCACCAGCCTGTGCTCCCCATGCATCGTCAAAGACTTCATATTCATCACTCTCGCAGAGTGGAGCTCACCCACGGCCTCCTGTCCATGCGCTTACGCTGCTCGTCAACCTTTGCCCGCTCATTCTTGTCAAACGAAATTGATCCGCTTCGAACATTTGCGCACGCTCAAAAGCTTGCAAACAATTGCGTGCGCACTTTAAGCATGAAAACCCTTTTCACGCCAATTTGTGTTCAAACGAACTTAGTCCAAGAGAACATTTTCCACACGTACTTTATACCAAACCAGCACTTGCTTACGAATCTTTTCCGTACGCACCTCCGCCATACGAACTTTATACCCCACGCATATTTGCTTAGAACAGCTGCGTATGTTCTTTATGCCTATGTCCTTTTTCTATACGCACTTTTGTCATAAAACCATTCGCCACACGATCTTCTACTGTGTAATCTATCTTGACGCCCAAAACAGCACTGATCCTGGCTAAATACAGTTGATTGAACATGAATGGCTGTCATGTCGAAAACACAAAGGACCAGAGCAGAAAAGGAAAATGCATTTGACCTGGCCTGCCCGGATAACAACAGGCCTGCTCTTGACTCCAGATGGGGTCGGACTCGACATGTTAAGCTGTGGATCCAGGTAAATTGATTCCTTTGAAAATATGTGCATCAGGAGACGGAGCCCAATCACCCGTAATGACCAGGACAAGCCAGGAGTGGACTCAGATAGATATTTGGGCAACGATAGGATATCCTTACTCACACAGCTCCCACCCGGGAAGCCAATGCGTAATGCTGATACGCCGCGTCTTTGTAATTACTTATCGGACCCAAACCAGATTCGAAGGCCCAAAGTTCTTGCTCTTAAAATCATTGTCATCTTAACCCATGCTGGTAATCGATACCGACATCCGACTTAGATCTGTGCTGCGATATTTGGAGTCGAAATTAGCCCCATGCTCAGCAAGCCAGGACAGGTATCCACTCCAACGGCGCCAAAGCGAGGGCAAGTGCCGTTAACCCTCTACCTACGACGGTTTTTCACCTCTGTTCTACGAGTGTGGGGGGATAGGGCTAACAGGCCCACCTCTAGAAAACTACGCTCGCGAGAACCACACGGAAGCGGCATTTTCTCACGTCAAATTGCATCGAATAGCTGTGTTGAGCAGTGGTGGGTGTGAACTCTGACAGGTCAAACCAAATGAGATGGGTCAAGTTCACGTTACAGGCCTTTCTGTTTATACAAAATCCTTATATGTTACTTGAAGAGCTAAGCATGCTATGCTAGTGCAGAAGACGGCACTGAAAAGCTGTTGAAAAACTTTCAGACAGACACTAGTGGATATCGACAATGTGACCTGTGATAAGTCATGTCAGGTCAAACGAATGAAGGCGACTGTTGCAATGGTCCGACCAGCTGCCTCAAATACTTAACAGGCCGTAGAAATGGGGACATCCTTATTCTAATTGCCCGAGCCATGGAAGCATTCCATTGTCTTCCCCGTCTCCAAATCCGGTGATCCTCCAAATCCTTCCAATTTTCGGCCATCTCTTTCGTCCCCGTCGGAGCAAGAATCGTGGAACATACAGTCCATTAGCAGCTCTATAGCTAGCTCTCCAATAATCACCTCCTTTCTCCACACCAGCGCGGTTTCAGACTACGCCACTGCACGGAAACTGCGCTGGCTTGTATATCCCATCAAATCCTAACTGCCAACGACCAGGGAGACATGTTTCAGCTCCACTTACTTGATTCAAGCAAATGCTTCGAGGTTACAGACCACTCAAAATTGCTGAGTAAACTCGGCCTGCACAGCGCTGACACCACCTGGTTATCGGCACACCTCAAAAGCCACCTTCGCGTGAGAGCATCCAACCAGTGCGGGAACAGCAGTCCATTGCGATGTGGCGAATAGTGTGGGAGCCTCGCAGGAATCGGCATTGCGCCCCGCACCGCACTGCACCAATCCGCACGATTGCAGTCCCTTCGCGGAGGGTGTAGGCGGTGTGCAGTATGCTGAGCACACCTACATTCCAGTAAGCGGCAAAACAACGGTTCGATATGCCGTTACGCAGGTGGAACACGTCCTGGCCTCTCTCCATGCCTGGTTTCGCGCTAAAAGACTTAAATCAAATGTTGAGAGTACACAATTGTGTTCGAAAGCCCACAAAATTCACCCAGCCCCTACCTTTACCTTGAACTTTCTGAAAAACGAACTTTCACCTTATTCGAAGGTGAAAATGCATGCCTAGTCTCTGAGTCATCTCTCCGCTGGAATGCTCACGCAACCCTCGCCAATGGTCGCTGGAGCCCTGGAGCCCCAATGGAGCCCTCGCCAATGGTCGCTGTTTCGGTGTCCTGTCTCGTTCGTCTCCCAACTAAGAAAATATTCGCCTCCTCATGTCGTCACTGCGCTGGCGAACGTCTCGGTTCTATCCATACTGCTTTTCAGTTTATGGCGATGAGTCTCAAACAATATTTAGGGTCCAAAGGTCATCAATTTTGCAGCAAAAGTAATATTTGGGTTGAAAAGTTCGCTCACGCCTCGGGTCTGTTGGAGAGGCTCGGCTGGCTTCATGCGGAAAGCCTTGTCCAATTCCACACGTTGATGTTTCTCCACGAGAAACTGTCATCTGTAACCAGCTTCATAAAAAGGGAGTGCCGTACAAGTCTGGCTTAGAGAGTACCTTCCCAAGCGTTTACTTCGAATCCAGCTGCAAAGAGTGAATAGCAACTATTTACTTCATCGCCCGTAAAATCCTACAATTTAGGGGGACATCTGACGTAAGGAGTAACTCCGAACTTCACCAAGCATCCATCGGGTCTCATAAACGCATTTGATTTGATCATGGAGTAGACCTTCACTCCGAACCTGAAGTACAATAAAACAATGATCTGGCCGGTCGTAAAATCGGCGGTGGTGATCATAGAGGAGCCGGCGCACGGCCATGCAGGGGTGGAGGAAAAGAACATCTAGACCGAGAATGAAAAATTGTTCAGGTTTGAAGCGATGCCAACTTATTAAGAGTTAACGTGCTGGCGTATGTGAGAAAATCAATACAACTGCAGTTTGTATTGAAAGTTTGTAGGCATCACAAACGTGCACCAGGAACTGTGGTGGATGCACGGGGGAAAATAACTAATGCAGCTGACGCGCCTTTAAGCTCACTAACCAACCAACTTGTTATGACACGGATAGACGTCATACAAGTCCACGAAATGCACAGCCTTAAGTAAGAGTAGTCATCTATTTCTGGGAACTTTTGTCACTGAGGTGCATATTGCCTTCACACACAGTATAGGAAAGCTTCCCAGTATGAACAGGCGTGCCAAACAACTTTGTTTACTTCTGTGGGTAGCGGAACAATATCGAGAATTATAGGATGTCTGCATTTCAGCAAATTAAAAAAAAAACATTGTAATTGGTCTTCGAATTAATCCCCAAATAACTAACAAATTGGGTTCTCGAGTAAACTCATAAGTGTCCACACCTTTTATGCCCCCTTAGCGATATTGATATATTTATTATAGGCATCCAAACATTCCGGGTCCAAAACAAAAACATAACTGTCATGGTAACGACCAATTGTATCACCACTGCAATTACTTTAGCGCTGGCATTTTATTATTTACTTCGGAGGTTGTTATAGGACGTTACTTCGGAGCGCTTCTTGCAGGTTTATGAAACCGGCATAGGGAGAGGGGAGTTAAGCCGAAATTACTTCGCACGGCCAAACGTAAATAGTAACCTCTCTTTATGAAACTGGTTGCAGGTTTATGAAACTGGCGTAGGAAGCAGAGTAACGCCACAATTACTTCTGTCAGTCACAAGTGAATGATAACTTCTCTTTATGAATATGTTTACTGTTGAGCCGGAAGCGCTGACCCATGAGTTCTGAGTGCTTTCCCAAGCCCGAGACAGTCACGCACACCAGGATAAAGATGTCTGTCCCTATGTCACGCACCGAGATGGGAGGGAAGCGCTTGCTCTGCCCAGCTGTCAGGTAGTGTGATTCCCTCCCCCGTGACCCGGCACAGCTCCCTATTGCGAGGTTTGCTCGTACGCTGAAGTGCGCGCTGAGGTTTGGTCGTGCGCTGTGTCGAAGACCGCCCTGGACGCGGGATGGTTCGCGCCATGTACGCAAGCGCAGCCGTGTGTACGTGTACGTTTATGAGCGGTGTGAACGTGTGCATTTGCGTGTGTGTGGGTAGTTGTCGTAGTTGGTGGTTGTAGAAGTCGCTCACAGCCCGCTTTTAATGGCGTGAAGGCATGGATCGGAACATAATTCAAGGACACTTCTTTGGAGCACATTTACTGCTGTTTATGAGCATTTGTCACTTTTGAGCAAAATCTAAAAGGCCTGTACTCGAGAAAGAGGTCACAGATTTATATCATCGCGGTCAGAAACTTCAAACCATCACAACATCTGTACAAATGATTATTGAAAACCATAGGTGGAGGACTATGAGCCTGTACCTCGAGCGGCGGCCGTAAAACGAAATTGCAGTCAACAGAGATGTCAACAAATTCAGTTTTAGCGCGCCAGATCAGACGCCCAAAGTTGGATCACATCACGCCACTTGACCAGAGGAGGTGGTCAAGCCGCGAAACGTGGCGAAATCAATCGATAACGTAAGTTTATATGGAAAAAGGGTTCTCCACACACTTCATTAGCAGTGACTACTATTCGCTATTTTCTTTTGCTACGACTATCATCGTGGGATGAAATAATTCGGTACAGTTAGCTTGTCTTACAGGTGTTGACAGTGTCTCAACGGCGACTGCCGTTGGTACAGGTGTTGACAGTGTCTCAACGACAACTGCCGTTTGGTAATGTCGGCCTTCTTGTGCGGCGAGCAAGTCCCTCTGAGCCAGGCACGCCATTAATCACGTGCAATCATCGCAAACACAACGACCAACCACGCAGCTCTTGTCTGTGCGACAAAACAGCACACGTTCCCCCCAGCCGGTGGCATTATGTGCGCGCTGCCCCACTCACCGGCGGCCTGGGTGGCGGCGGCGGCAGCAGCTGCGGCAGCGGCGGCGGCGGCAGCGGCGGGCCCGGCGGCGGACCGGCCGCTGGAGGGCGGTGGCGGTGAGGGGGCGGGGCCGGCCGCCGTGCGGCGTACCTTGTTGCGCGTCGCCTGACACAGCGGCGCCGACACCGTCAGCAGGTGGACCGCGCGCACCGCTGCCTGGTTCGGTGGCAGCGGCTCCACCTGCGGCACGGCGGCAGACACAATGTGCCGTCACAGCTGCCTCTGTTGGCGACGGGCGGCCGACAGCTGGTGCTCCACGAACGACCCCGACTTCAACACGCAACTATGAACGCTGGCGCTCTGCTAGCCGTCCTTAACAATTACGATTCCTGACGGGAGGTATTGACGAACTGGAAACACCGATTGCCCTTTGGAATTTTGAAAGATGACCGGCTTTTTGCACACAAAGAATTCACATTGGCAATGCATTAAGACGTATGACAATTTCCATTGTGTTGGTAGCACGCTAAAGCAGTGTCTGTCCCTCAGGAGAGTGACGCTGAACAGTAAACAGGCGACCACTGCTTCTGATCAGCCCCGCAGAGGCCGTCCCTGGGGCTGGCCTGCGTGTTGCGGGGATACAGCAATACAGGATGGCACGCCACTTCAGCCAGGTCACAACAGGACAGTGTGACTGTTCACCCAGGCACACGGTATGTGCGGTCCACCGCACCACGACAGGCGTTGTGACGGTCCGCCGCCCGACAGGTGTGTCGGTCCACCCAGGCCACGACCGTCCACCAGGCCACGACAGGGTAGTGTGTCGGTCCACCCAGGCCACGATGTTCGTCCACCCAGGCCAGCACTGTGTGCGGTCCACCCAGGCCACGACAGGGCGGTGTGTCGGTCCACCCAGGCCACGACAGGGTACTGTGTCGGTCCACCCAGGCCACGACAGGATAGTGTGTCAGTCCACCCAGGCCACGACAGGGCAATGTGACGGTCCACCCACGCCACGACAGGGTAGTGTGTCAGTCCACCCAGGCCACGACGGGGCAATGTGACGGTCCACCCACGCCACGACAGGGTAGTGTGTCAGTCCACCCACGCCACGACAGGGTAGTGTGTCAGTCCACCCAGGCCACGACAGGGCAATGTGACGGTCCAGCCAGGCATAGTGTGATGGTCCAGCCAGGCCACGACAGCATAGTGTGACCATCCACCCAAGTCACGACAGGGCGGTGTGACAGTCCAGCCAGGCCACGACAGGGCAGTGTGATGGTCCACCCAGGCCATGACAGGGTAGTGTCATGGTCCAGCCAGGCCACAAGAGTGTGACTGTCCACCTAGGCCAAGACAGGAAAGTGTCATGCTACAGCCAGGCCATGACTGGACAGTGTGGTGGTTCAGCCAGGTCATGACACAGCAGATACGCCGGGCCCACGAAGGCCAGCGTACCAGTCCAGTCGGAGCACAGTGGACCTGGGAGAGCAGGGCAGGGCAGGCCCCCCCCCCCCCCCCCCACCAGCCTACCTGAGCATTAGAGCAGCAGTGGGCGTTGGCACAGTTGGAGTCCCCGCAGCCCTCCGTCAGTTGATGGTAATACTGCTCGATCCGCTGCCTCGCCTGGGCTCGCTTCATCGCCTCGTCTTCCGCCCGCCTACGCAAACAAAGTGGGCGGTGCCAATGCCACCAATGGAAAGTGTGATGAAGGTGGAGTTCAGAGACAGTGAAAGAAGGCAGTACAGGTTGAAACAGATGTGCAGATGATTTGGGGCAATGAATTGAAGCTCATTAGTGCCTTCCAGTAACCTTGTATTGTCTTCCTGGAATCAGATGAGCAGCTCACATGTGTCACCTCATATCCTAACATAACTGCTCTGGGGCAGTGTTCTGTGTAATATGGCAACATGTCACACATTTTGAGACCTAGCTTGATCCAGATACTTTGAATGCACCCTTATCTCTCAAACATGATGACTAAACAATGGAACATTGTGTTCAAAGCCTACCAATGATTGTGTAATAATTTGTGTAACATCTGCAACAATTTTGTATCCTACTTGCAATTTAATGTAATTTTGCAGTGCACTTCAATGCAATCTGTTATCATGTGTACCATTGCTAATCACCTGTAAATCATTTTCATAATTCCCATCAATGTAACTTCCTGAACATGAAGAACATCAGAGATGTAAGAATGCAACAAGACCTGTACTAGGTTTCAAGATTATACATAATTCAGAACAATGATGATATTTAAGTGGCTGTTTTATTCAAAAACATTATTTAATAGGGTCTGACCCACACATTATACAAAGGTTGCTAAGAAAACACCCACCTTTCAGACTCTGAGTAGCATTGCTGGTCAGAAGTATTCATCAAGGAGGCTCACACAACTGACCTGTGAAGAAAATAACAACTTATTAATAGCTTGGAAAAAATAAACATATTTATTTTACACAGGTTAAGGCTGTTACTGAAGTAAAAAAAAACACACCAAGCTGAATTAAGACTTTTGTCAATACTTAGATAATGGCTTGACCTTGGTTAACAGCATGACACAACTTGATGCATTTGTAAGACCTGAGCACCATGTATCCTACAATCTACCTGGCCAGTTACTGGCCTTTGTTAAAAAAGAATTTCCATAATTTTGAAACCTGCCAGCATATTTGGAAACATCCATAGGATATTTAAACTACCTTGAGCATAACTTGGTGCACTAGGACCCATCTGAAAAATTCAACCATTACACCAGACAAATCTGCAATACCAGTGCACAGAACACCACACTTGCAGTGTAGATTTCAGACCAGGCTAAATTGTGCTGAATTTTCACCTTATTTTTATACAAATTTGCAATCTCACAATTCCTTGAAACATTAGCCCCACACCTTATAAATGGCTGAGGTCATGCACTGAACTTATGCTCAGATTTATGGTGCACATATGCTGAAATTTTTGTGATAATGTTAAATGTCACTGCTATGCTTTACCTTATCCACCAGTCAAACATGCCTTTTGCATTACTAAGCATGGTAACTTGAAATTGTTAAATCATGTCAAAGGAATTACAAGAGTGGATGAGCATTTCCACAAGTTATGAACGCATCAAAAGTATGCCCAATTACAGGTAAGGTCAACATAGTGGAGAAAAATGTGCACCCCACGCAGACATGTGCCTAGATCACAAGGTTGGATGCAGGATCTCATTGGGTCCCATGCATACAGAATCCTGGGATGAGATCCTGAGATCTCATCTGGGGTTTCTGGACACATCTGGTCCCAAGAATAGAAAGGACGACATCCTGCAACAATTGGTTCAAAATTTCAGCATGACCTACATGGAATTGCAAACATTTGTAATTGAGAGAGCATGCACTATCCTATGAGCCATTTCAATCTGACCATCTAGAGATCATGAGTTCTCTAACACCTCACATACATAAACATGCCATCATGTTCATGTGTGAGGACATGACATGGCCTGTAATCATTAACCCACTTCTTAGAGACAACGGGGTGATGTAGCCAAAACTAAATCAATCACCCAACTTCTTGGAGACTACACTGGTTTTAAGGTAGAGTGTATGGTAAACAATCAAAAAACAGGTACATCTATACCTTTACCTTTAAACTTAAATAATTATGATAGGGAACATTTCAGAGCTGTGAACACACAGCAACCTTGACCCCAGCACCATTACCTAACCTGGTAAAGCCAGCAATACCAAGTCCCTAAACAAACTCATTGCATGCCACTCCAATGATGCAATACCACCTGACTGCTCAGATACATAAGATACATAGTTCAGTACATTTTTGGTTACCTTAGCCCCCTATGTTTTCATGGTTTTTGATGTGCAGTAATATTGTGATCACTCACCAATGACTTAGCAAAGGCACCAAGGGGATTGTTGCTGTGTATTTGCACCCCTTGAATGTTTGCTATCATAATTAGTTCAATTTGAAGGTAAGAGTAAAGGTGACCTGTTTCATTATTATTCATAATATGTTCTGCCTTCAAAATGATGACTGGTGTACAATGCTCTTTTTAACAATAGGTACCAATGTATACCATAGCCACAATGACATAGTGAACTAACCAGAACTAAATGAAACAACATTTTAGCATATTACACATACCTATATGCATGCCTACCTACCTAAGACCTAGCATTCATACACATGGCAGTTGTGAATAGCCAGTCAATGTCAAAACATCATAATGCAGCACAAACACAGTATACACACAGCACCTAATGCAAGTATAGTACAATCCTAGCATGGTTTACCAACAATTTATCAATTCTCACAACATGGCATTAGAACCAAAACAATAATATCTGCCACATAATATCTGCATTATAACACATGATCACTTCTCTTTTGGCACATGAGTGACAAATCTGCACATTAGTGTGAGCATGCAGACAGCTGACATCCACCCACCTAATCACCTTGCAACAGCCTTGATCAAGGCTCTAAGTTATCTACGATGAAGCGTGATTCGCCTCTGGCGAGTTCACTTTCTTAAGACACAGTCAATGATGAACGCCAATAGATGAAAGCGCACTCTGCTAGGCTCAATAAAAACAGCCGACCAGGAGGGTCGTCGTTTCATTTCACACATATGTAACGCAGAGCCATGTATGTAATGCTCTCATATCTTAAACATCGCAGAGGCCAGCGGGCCCTCAGCGTATCTCCTAACCACAGCCAACCCGCGATAACGCTTCTCCGCTCCGTTTGCCTTGCGTTTTTCGATTATTTGCAACTTGGCGTGCAACTCCAGGCGTTATATACGGGGGAGGCACCATACAATTTGGTTACACTCAGCACGAGCCGCTGGGTGACGTCACTGAAAATCCCTTCGGTGGCTGCCCGTCACTAATTGAAAATCGGCTCAATCGCAGGTAGCGGCAAGACGGTGAAAATCTCCGGTTGGCAAAGGTAGCGGTGATCAAGTCCTGACCTTTCAGTCACCTTTCAAGGCCAAGGTCATGCTCAAAAGACGGGGAACTGCACACTACCCAAAAGTTATCGGTCGATTTCAAATTTTCAAGCATTAGAATATCTATTCAACAGTCAAGGGACTAGCGCCTGTCTCAAAGGCCTGATCTCTCAAGGTCACCCTTCAAGCTCAGTTTCAGGCCCGAATGACGGGGCACTTCGGGTGCATTCGGCCGGCAGATAATCTCGGAAAATTATCCGAAATGTTGGACAATTTTCCGAAATGGCGCTCGGCGCTGCCAACACGGAAAATTATCCCGGATAATTTTCCATACCGAGGGGGAATCGCGGAAATTTTCAGAGCATGGTCAAGACGGAGAATCTGTTTTCGCTACGCGTAGCTATGACTGTTGGCTGCACATGGCACATGTGAGATCAGGGGATAACCCAGCCAGCATGTCCAACTGGGACCCATGTGGGTCCGAGATGGGCAGTCATATCAGGGATCATAAGATGGGCAGCCCATCAGGGCTGCCCACCCCGGTCCCATGTGGGCGTGTCATGGACAACGAACTGGGTGCCACATGGGCACCCCACCTAGGGCCCATATGGAGCCAAACTGGAACCAACATGGGGCCACCTGGGCTGCCCTGTTGGGACTCACGTAAGCATGGCCAAATGGGTCTCATATGGGTGTCCATCTGGGGCCCACTTGGAGCCTAACTATAACCCACATGGGGCCCACCTGGGCTACCCAGTTGGGACCCACGTGGGCATGTTCAGCTGGTGCCCACATGGATGCGTCCAGCTGGGACCCACGTAACCATCCCAGATGGGACCTATATAACTAGCCCGGATGGGACCTTTTCAACCGCCCCAGATGGGCCCCAGTTAGGCTTTTCTGATCTGCTGTTTCCATCTGATTGATGCACCGCCGTAATTCCAGACAGACTGCCTTATATCATCAATAATGAGCCGGGTCTAGGTTAATTCACCATGTATTTTACCGGAATTACCTCGGCAACAGCATCATTGCACAAAACATGCACATTTCTGTTATCATGCCCGATGCGATGTTCACAAAACCATTCAACAGATGCTATGCGTTACCGTTGCTGACGTTGTCGCCACGGTGTGTCCTGCCGCCGTCGTAGTCTCTGCCGCCGAAATCATTTTCCTCGTGCCTATTTCGTTTCGTTGCGCGAGACTCCGTAGCGCGGTGTGTTGCGCATGATGAACCCTGAAAATGGCAATGTTCAGTACCTCAGTACCTCACTGCCCAACAGCCCGAGTGTAGATGATTATTCATGTATACAGATTTGGATAGTGAAAGAATTGATTTTATGTTAGGTCGTTAACCGAGTCTGATAATGAGAGTAGCCATGTCGAATAGCAGTGCGGAAGTGCACTACACATGCACTCTCTCAGAGGACTGTTATGGAAAGACTTAACGTGAAGCCACTTCCATGGAGTACTTGCCGAAAGCCGACTTAAGTTATGCCTTCCTGCGGTCACATTAACAACGACATCAAACTATTGGTAGTGTCAATTATAACGGTAGCGTAGTATAAGTGAGACGTTTATATTTCATCAGAAAAAAGTAGTGTTGTTTTACTGTGCCAGGACGATGCAAACAAACTCATCACTGTCGTTATAACAAAAAACTGGAACATTTTAGCTGCTAGCTGTCTTTACGGGGGTACGATATTGTCTGCAAGGGTATTTGAGGGGAGGGGGGACGGTTGCTTTCCAATCCGCTCATTCATTAGTCAGTTTAGGTCGCTTTAGGCACTCCCTCTTGGCGCCTGCAATGGACGGCCTGCGGCTGATGGTAACAACGGCGGTCGCCAATGATTAAAGGGTGCACTTGTTAAAAATGTTCGAAATAAAGAATAAAACAGCAAACTCCGGGCAGACACCACCAGCCCAGTTTCAAAAAGAACGCTGCCATGTTTTCCTTATACACAGTTGCAAACCTCGGTTTTGCTGATGTTTGTCCGTGGAAGTGCTCAGAGAAATGAAACATGTCAAATGGGTTTTGTCATGTTCATCTTGTGGGATTGCCAACAGTCGTGGTAAGGGAATCCTCGCCGTAAATTTGGGCGGCATTGTACGTTAAGTACAAGCTGAACAGAACGAACCCATATGGTACAATGCCTGCTTTTCCAAGCACGATGATTCTGGAGCAGCATCAGTTGTCTTTGACGGAAGTCTCTGGTTGTTGTGCCAGCTTGCTGGCAGACATCACAATTCCGGGCGACCAGCAGCAGTCCTCGAGCAGTCCTCCAGAGCAGAGCAGCCGCAGTTCTCAGCATCAGTTCAGCGGTTCAGCACAGAGTACCTCTCCAGATAACCAAAGGCTGAAGTTGATGCCCATCCCTTCCCTTTCAAAATCCGCAACAGCGAGCTCATGCTGCGGGAAAAAACACGAAAACGGGACGAAAACTGAAAAACGCCAATAGCACATCGCTTGCAAATTGCAAGCGAGCACATCAAGAGAAACAGGCGATGGCATGTCACACATGTAAGAAGTCATGCGGGTCCAGGGCCTCGTCTAAAACCTGTTCAATGAAGGGGCAGGACAAGATTTCTTACCTGTACATAATTAGCCTCATATGACGCTCTACACAGCGACGGGAATATGTTTCATGTAACTGAGGTTCATTAGCCTCGGGGGAGAGTTTCCACGCCACTGGGTGGGGAAGGATGCACAACATTGGAGGGATTTCACCTGCTATTCAGCATGGGTGCGCGGCACCCTGCGCGGCCTGGCGCGGCCCTGCGCGGCCTGGCACGGCCCTGCGATTGCACCGGTCGTAGCAAATGCACCAAATCAGGTAAAAGAAAGTCTGCCACACGAAAGCACAATAAACGAAACGGAAATGATATCTCACAACGCACTCTCACCGATGCACCCAGTGCGCGAGCGAACCCCTTTCAGGAGCCGTCCTCCCTACGTGCTCACCTGTCTGGGAATGCAGCCACCCTTCCCGAGCCGCGCACCGGAACGGGCCCAACGGCTCCCGGCCGCCAGCCGCTAGCATAACAACCAGGACGTCGGGCGGGGACGATATGACCAAGCATGGGCGAGCGAACGATCGTGTTATTTGGAAAAGGGCTTTGGGGGACCGAGTTCACCTCCCAACAACCAACATAATTTAGCAGTAGGCTTGCGGCGGTACACGGAAAGAAACGCCTCAAATGCCTCTTACCCCTCCCCCCCCCCCAATTCTTGGCAAATTCCTTCGCTCCTGCGACCAAGAACGGGCACGGGATGGGTTAGCGCCCACAGAAGTGAGGGCCAAGATCTGACGGTGTCAGGCACAGCGGATCGCAATGGATGGGAGGGCGGGTCTGGACAGATGGGCTGCCGGCGTCGCGGCGCGGTGTCAGCGAGCGGCTCCGCCTGCCGCTTCCGTGGTTTGGTGCAAGGAACATGCCTCGTTTATGAGGGAATCTCATGATCATTATCATGTATACATAGGGCATTTCCACTCGGCTCCAGGTTAAAATTACGGCTTAATTGCAGTAGTTTCGAATTAAGCCATAACAGCATGAACTAGCAGGCACTGACTGTGAGTCGTGTGCTGCTGTTGAAGGCGATACTAACATTGGGAACCTGCTATCAATCACCACCAAACACCTCGTAAGTAAATGCCTGCATACTTTAAAGAACGCCTGCAAAATATTTGTTGTAGTAAAAGGTCTAACGCTAGGCAAAAGCTAGTAGGCAGAGTTCGCATGCATAGAGTTAAATGCAAAATTTATCTTAACCCTCTTAGGCACGTCAATGCTGGCAATGCAAACTTGTTGACAAAAAACACGTTCGTAAAAGTTCCTAAGCATCGATTGTTTGCATGCAAAGCGCTCGGATAAGAATGTTTCAGAAGAAAAAAATTGGAGCGCCCGATTGCCAAATTATTCACCCCACCTCTCCGATGTCGCCTGAATGCTGTGTTTGAAGGATGGATTAATCACTTAGTCATGAAATGAAGCCTGTCTATCTTTAATTATTCGGTGTTTTCTTCAACCATTGTAGTCTGGGAAATGTTCGTCGACCTCAAACAAAATCCTAATGAAAAACCCTAAAAGCGAAAAATGTCTGTCAGAACATCATTTAAGTACAAGGATAAGCTTCGCAACGACACAAAAAAACTGTGAACTTCTGGACGTAGTGTCGCATCTCAGTATTAAGCTGTGCTCTTTTTCTCTCCCTTCACCGTTACACAAAAGCCTTTAGTTTCCGGCCGAATCTATTTTTCGAAACATGAAGCAGCCGTTCATGTGCTTTAACACGCGCCCGGGTGGCCGGCCGGATACCCTTCGCTCGGGTGGAAGGGGCAATTTGACACCCTGAGATCTCGGGAACTAAGAAAACTAGAAACACCAAATTCACAGGGTGTATTTGCCTGTACGTGAAATCAATTACGTGAAATATTGAGGTTACTAGGTCATGACCTGCGGGTGAAATAAGGTCAAACGAGATAATAATCCAGGTTGGTCTCTAATGTGCCCCAAACATGGATAACTGTTTCTAAGCAAAAGACCGCATGCTCATTTAAGATCAATAACCTCGTTTGACCTTTTGAATGACATGGTGATCAAAATCATGCAAGAATGCTCTGAGGTTTGTACTTGAATAAGCGACAAAGATAACACCAGACAGTATGTTTCTAAAAACAAAGTGTTGAACAGGGTCGTTTTAGGTCGATGATCTATTATGACCTCTAAGAAGTCCATGGAAGATGTATTATGCGTTTCCTGCTATCAACTAACTCGAAATGAGCATCAACAACTATCCCATACAGCAAGCTCTAGAGCAATGTAACAGGTTGTTTTTGACCTTGGTCTGACT